TACGTGCTGGGCATCAGGACTCCTTTCCCAGGTTTTCTTCCCAGTTATCAGAGGACAGTGGTGTCCAGTGGTTAGAGCAGGGAGGCCTGGGAGTCGGTCAGGATTCCTGGGTTCGATCCCTAACTCTGGCAGGGGAGTGGGGTCTGCTGGGTTAGTCAGGGACCGGGTGCTGGGGCTATGAACTGCTAAGCTTAGAGGGGCCAGGGCACAGTTCTGTTAAAAATTAAGCACTGTGGAGGGGCCATTCTAAAGTGTTCAGCGTAAGGGGCTGCGAGGCGGGAGTGCTGGGTTCTAATCCTGGCTTTGCCCCTGAGTTTTTTGTGCCTTCGACATGTGGCTGAAGCTCCCAAGATGACGGGAAACCCCCCCGTCCCCCCCCCAATTAAGATGCCGGGGTGTCATCCATCCCCGCAATCTATCGATGCCCCGCCACTGTTCGCTTAGCCGGCCGTGCAATGCTGGGCCAGGGGGAAATCTTTTCCTGTGCCTCTTAGCGCTCGCCTGCCCCCCGAGGTTGGGCTGCAGCTCGCTAACGAAGCAGGTGGCCTGGAAACCACTGAGCAACAATCGGGTGGGGCGAGTTATGGCCTCCTGAGCACAACAAACAAATCACATGTTGGTTGGCACAAAAGCAGCCAAGGAACAAACCAGGAAACCTGAGGATTGGGAGGAGAGCGGTTGGCTCAGCCCGGGCTGGAGCCAACGACCTGCCGGGTTTGGCTTTCGGTTCTGCTGGCTGGCAGAGAAGGAGGCAGAGGAAAGGCGGTTCCCTGCTGGCAGCGGCAGATCCCTGGGTGGTCTGTTTTGTTTGGGGAAGGCAGGCAGAGCTGTAGGACCAGGATCTTCGAGCCAGTGGGGAGGCAGGTGCCGCAGGCTGGAGTTTAGGGCTGGCACCGGTTGGGGGCTGGTAAGACCACTGCCTGTCCCACTGCCCAGCACTGTGTCCTTGTGTCCATCTGTCCCCCCCGCCCCAGTCTGTCTGTCTCCACCTGGTCTTGTATTTGGATCGGCAACTCTCTAAGGAGGGGACTGTTTGTACAGTGCCTAGCACAATGGGGTCATGGGCTGTTGCTGGGATGCCCTCTGGCCTACCGCAATACACCCAATTGCCATCAAAATGTACAGTGCCTGGCACAATGGGACCCCAGTCCAGGACTAGTACGCCTAGAAGCTACTGTAATGCACCCAATAGGAATGCAAATGTACACAATGGGCTCCTGGTCCATGACTGGGGTGCCTAGGCACTACCGTAATACACCTAGTAATACTAATGTTGCCCCTTTGGCCTGAGCCCCTTAGCCAATATTTTGGGGCCTTGCAGGGTTATTTCCATTAGGAGGAAAAAAATATCCGTGATCACCAGGTGTTTGTTTACACAGAATGTGCAGAAAGTCCTGTTTTCCCTGAACACAATAGGGAGAAATAGCAGCAGGCAGCTTCCTCACTCAGAAATCTCCATGTCTGCCCCTTCAGTGGGCTCTGTGCCCAAAAAGTCCTGTCCCTCTGCTTCTTCTAAGGGTCACGCTCATAATACTTGCTTCAAGGCGCCAGTCAGTTGCTTGCAGGGTCAGGAAGGTGCCCCTGCGCCCCCCGCCCCTATGCACAGTTGTAATCTGGGGGCGGGGAGGGCAAATTTCACCTTCCTCTGAGGCATTGGGGATTGGCCACAGCAGGAGACGAGACACTGGATGGGTTGGACCAGTGCTCTGGGGTGGTCTTAGATGCCTGACTGGGGGGTCTTGCTCATATGCTCAGGATCCAACTGATGCCCAGATTCAGGGCTAGGAAGGGATTTCCCCCAGCTCAGATTGGCAAGGACTTTGGGGTGTGGTTTTTTTGCCTTCCTCTGCAGCATGGGCCATGGGTCGTCTGCTGGGATCATCCGGGCATCTCTCACCTAATCAATTCTCTGCCATGGCATGGGCCTTGGGCCCTGCTGGCCCCTGGGTCTCTGCCTACGATTCACAGTTTGATCTCAGTCGAGCTCCGTGTCGGGGTATTTGGGTGGAATGGAATGTCCTGCTGGGCGCTCTGCGGGAGGCCAGGATAGATGATTTAATGATCCCTTCCGGCCTGAAACTGTTCCCCTGGTGCTCTGCCTCCGCCAGCCATGCCCTACGACCCGTCTCCTCGCCCTTGTGTTGGCAACCATCCGTCCATGCTCTGACCTGCGAGTCTGGGGGCACCCCTGATAGTCAGCAGCTGCCTTCGCTACCTGAGGGGGCTTGGATGACTCCTTCGGTCGCTCCTGAAGGAGCGTGTGGGCCAGTGTGCTGGGGCTTTAATGAAATCTCAGACTGTCGTGAGATGCAAGGCTCAGCTGGTGTTTGACAGGGACCTCTTTCTGCAGAGCAGCCATAATAGCAATAGGAGCCGTTCCATGACACGATCCCACAGCCGTTGAAACTAGACACATTCAGACTGGAAATAGGGTGTAGATTTTTACGGTGAGACCATTGGAACAATTTACCAAGGGTCATGGTGGATTCTCCATTACTGAACATAGGAACAGCCATAGTGGGTCAGACGAACGGGCCATCTAGCTCATTATCGCGTCTTCCGACAGATGCTTCAGAGGGAGTGAACAGAACAGGTCGTCATCAAGTGATCCAGCCCTTGTCATTCACTCCCAGCTTCTAACAGGCAGGGCATGGGGTTGCGTCCCTGACCACATTAGCTAATAGCCATTGTTGGACCTATCCTTCCAGGAACTTACCTAATTCTGTTTGAATCCTGTTACTGTCTTGGCTGTCACAACATACCCTGGCAATGAGTTCCACAGGTTAACTGTGCATTGTGTAAAGAAGTACTTCCTCATGTTTGTTTTAAACCTCCTGCATATTACTTCCATTGGGTGACCCCTGGTTCTTGTGTGATGTGGAGGGGTAAATAATACGTCCTGATTCACTTTCTCTACACCAGTCATGATTTTTAGACCCTCAGATCCCTCAGATCCCCCCTTAGTCGTCTCTTTTCCAAGCTGAAAAGTCCTGGTCCTTTTTTCAAATTGAATTGACTATTTTTAAACCAGGGCTGGGTATTTTCCAAAGAGATCTGGGCTAGGGATTGTTTTGGGGCAGGACTTTGATGTTGTGAAGGCCAAGACTATAACAGGGTTAAAAAAAAAACTAGATTTGTTCGTGGGGGATAGGTCCATCAATGGTTATTAGCCGGGATGGGCAGGGAGGGTGTCCTTAGCCTCTGTTTGCCAGAAGCTGGGAATAGGAGACAGGGGATGGCTCACTTGATGATGACCTGTTCTGTTCATTCCCTCTGGGGCACCTGGCATCGGCCACTGTCGGAAGACAGGACACCGGGCTAGATGGACCTTTAGTCTGACCCAGTCTGGCCGTTCTTATGTTCTCTGGCGCGTGCTACGTGGCGGGTCACGCTACTTGGTTACACTGGGCCCTGCTGGCCTTGGATTTTACGAAGCAGGATCTCCAACAGGATCTCTGGGGAATGAACGGAAGCCAAATTAAAGGGGCCTACACCCTATTTTGTTTTCCTTTGCCGGTAGGGCTACCCCCATGCGTCTGGGTTTGCCCGGACGTCGCCTCTTTTTCTGAGGCTCTGTCCTCCGACTGGGCGGATTTTTCAGATAACAGGCAACGTCCGGGATTTTTGTAGCGCAGCCCTCGTGTTTCAGAAAGAGCCCTGATTAGTGCCCTCCCCTGCATCTGCAGCTGATTGGTCCATTCCCCTGCAGCCATAGCTGCTGGATCCTGCCCACCGGGGTCCCAGCTCCCAGCCCTGGGGAGCGGGGGTCCCACAGGGAGGTGCTGACCGATGGCTGTTGCTGTGTCCCAGGCTTGCGCCCCCCGCTCACCCCCTCCAGTGAGTACCCCTGCCACAGGTACCCCCTCCAGGACCCCAACTGTACCCCCCTGTCAGTGTCTTTCTTTCTGGAAACCGAAAATATGGTAACCTTATTTGCAGGACATCTTTAAAAAGTCTTCCCCTCTTCTCCAGCCACCTTCACCACGCCCCTAATACTGCCTCCTCCCATCCTATGTTCAACACAGTCTCCCCAGCCACCATTCTGAGATTCCTGGGTCCAGGTCTGCTGCTAGTCTGATGTGCCTCAGCCATCCCATCTGCAAACGGAAGGGCTCCCGGACCTTGCTGGCAGGCCAGAGGCAGTGCAAAGTGGCAGCAAAGCCCAGCCACCTCCCCCACGGAATACAGGCCCTGATTGTCACTTGCCCCATCTGTCCATATGGGGCTACGGCTGGGTGCTTTAAACTTCCTTTGCACTCTCCGTATTCTTGGCCCTTTTGTGTCAGTTAGAGCAGCCTCGCGGCTGCTCTAAGTGAGTGGGGGGCAGAGAATAGACTCAGCACACTGCGCTCTGGTCACACTCCTGATCCGCCCCCTATGGGCCCGGGGCGGGGGAGACAGAGAATATCCACCGTGCAGTGTCCTCTGGCTACAGGCCCAATCTGCTCCCATGGGCCCTGGGGGGCAGAGAATAGTCACAGCGCAGTGAGCCCCAGCCACACCCCTGATCTGCTCCTAATGCCATCTCCATACTGCCTGGGGAGCATGGTGGGGGGAGGGGGGACAGATTTCAGACGAGTTTCCACCTATTTCGAAGCTCCTCCGTGCAGTGACAACCTTCCCTGCTCCCTTCGGGGATACCTCTGCCCCAGGGGCCTCCCAGCGTGGCTGGAATTTACGAGAGCGGAGCGTTCTCCCCCGGGGGTGGTGGTGGCTGGATTTTCTCTGCACCTGTTGCCCTTAGGAGTTCCTGTCTCCCCAGCAGGGACCCCCCCCCCCGACCCTGGGTTCTGGGTGGCCCTGCTGTGCGGCTCTCCCAGCGCTAGCCGCGAGTGGCGGCCCTGTTATTCAGGTGAGATCCGTTTGTGCCCAGACAGGATTGGCCGGACCCGCTCCCAGGAGGGGCAGTCCTGCGCCCCCTGCCGATGCCCAGGCTTTGTCCAGATGCCCAGGCATCCCCAAGACACCCGCGGGGATTGTGAAGCGAGGGGGAGCCGGAGATGCAGGGGGACAGAGTGGCCCAGAGCTTCGGTTCGGCTCTTCTGAAGCCTCGGATGCTCTCCGTGCGCCGGGGGGGAGGCGGTGGCCGGCTGCAGCCTCCGCACAGCCTCCGTGGAGAAACGGATCAGGTGAGGCCGAGATCCAGGCTCTGGTATTTGGGGAGGGGGGAGAACCCCGCCCAGTATCAGGGCATAGGGGGGGTGTCGGCCTTTCTGGGTCCCACCACCTGCAAGATGCCCAGTGATCTTCCCAGAAGCCTTCGAGGAAGCAAAAGATTGTGGGGATTTGGGTGCTGGTGTTACTTGGGGTTTTGTTTTTTTTTTGGGGGGGGGAAGGAGGTCATTTTGTGGCAGCGGGAAAAAGAAAGGATGAAGGGAGCTGGGATGTGGGGGGAGGAGTGAGGGGGGGGCTGGTGGGATGCAGTGGGGAGATAGGAGGGGGGACTGGGCTAAGGTGGAGTGGAGGGGGTGGGGGCTGGTGGGGGCGAGTCTATATTTTCTAGAGATGTCCCCCGCGGCTGTGCCAAGCTGCCAGGCCCTTGGCTTTCCCCGTCCCTGTCTCTGGTCCGTTCCAGTCGCTCTGTTGGCGCGGCAGGGGAGCAGGTGTCGCTGGCGTTCGTAACACGGGGGGGCGGCATGCCAGCGTGGGCGCTGTGAGGCTCCTCTCTGTCTCGCTGCAGGGCCGAGCAGGCCCGCCGGCTGCACGAGCGGGTCCTGGACTCCCTGTCCCGCTTCCAGGACTGGCTGCGGGGGGCAGAGCTGTGGGCCGCCTCCCCCGCTTCCTCCCAGGTGCCCTTCGCTGTGGCCAAGGAGGAGCTCAAAAAGTTCGAGGTGAGGATGGGGGTGGGGAGAGGGGCAGCGTGGCCCAGTGGATGGAGCATTAGGCTGGGACTCAGGACACCAGGGTTCTATGCATAGCTCTGCCACCCTCCTGCTGAGTGGCTTTGGGCCAGTCCTGGCCCCACTCTGTGCCTCAGTTTCCCCTCCCATCTTTTGACTATTTAGACTTGGGGCAGGGACCGTCTCTTGCTGTGTGTCTGTGTGGCACCCAGCACAATGGATGGGGATGTAGGTGCTACCGTAATACACATAATAAGGCCCAACACAATGGGGGCCCCCCCATATCTGGAGGCAGATAGAGGTGCTACCGTAATATACATAGTAAGGCCCAGCTCAGTGGGGTCCCGATCCTGCATGGGGATGTCAGTGCTACCATAATATACATAATAAGGCCCAGCTGATGGGGCCCCAATTCTGGATGGGGATGTCGGTGCTACCGTAATATACATAGTAAAACAAGGCGTGATGGGGACGGTAGATGCTACTGTATTACACCTAATAAGGCTCCACTTAATGGGGCCCCGAACTCCAACCGGGGATATAGGCACTACTGTAATACACCTAATAAGGCTCACCATGATGGGGCCCCAAACCCCGATGGGGACTGTAGATGCTATCATAATACACCTAATAAGGCTCGGCACAATGGGGCCTAGATCCTGGATGGCGACCGGTAATGAACTACCGTAATGAACCTAATAGGGCTCAGCATGGGGACAGTAGATGGTAGTGTAGTACACCTATTAAATAATACCGGAAGAAACTGAATGATTTCTTCTGCGCACTGATGTTGGCACAGCCAGGGTAGGGCAGGGTTGGCAGGAAGTCTCTTGAAAGAGACCTCAGGGGAGACCCTCGGTAGCAGAGGAGTCTTTGAGTTGTGTTTATTGAAGTCCTTTTATTTCAAAGGTGGCAGCAAGAGCTGAATACACAGACGATCAAACAAGGGGAACATTTATAACCCCCCAGTCCTTCCCCTTGGCAAGAGGCTAACGGGGTCGCCAGTTTCCATAGTCCTTCAAGGATCTCGGCTGCCTGTTGCAAACGTTTCATTTCATCTCATGTTTCTGCCCCCCTGAGCCGGGCCTTGGTTATTTCCATTTGACCGATAGGGAAACAGAGATAAAGTGACTTAGAGCAGAGTTACATAGTGGGAGAACTGGGAACAGAACCCAGGAGTCCTGCCGCCAAGCCCTTTGCTCTAACCACTAGCCCCTACTCCCCTGCCAGAGCCGGGGACGGAACTCTGGGTGAGCTCTGCAGATCAGCACCGTGGGGGGCCTGTAACACATACTCACCAGAGAGTAACGACTGCAGTCCCTGAACACAGCACAGCTGCTCATGAATTGATCCTCACAGCCCCGTCCTGCCCCAAGAGAGGGGAGAATTATTCAAATTTAACAGATGGGGAAACTGAGGCACAGAGCGACACTGCGACGTCTATAGCAGGGGCCCAGCATCCAAGCTAGTCCTAGTCCAGGGCTACAACAACAAGGCTGCTCTTCCTCACCAGTGCTGGTGTCCCTTTCTCCCTCCAGGTGCTGGAAAGGCAGATCCAGGAGAAGTTGCACCATCTGGAGTCCTTAAACAGGCAGTACCGGCAGCTGGTTCAGGCCAACAGCATCAGTTTGCAGGGCCGGCTTAAGGCCGCGGTCCAGGAGAGCAATCGGCGCTGGGACAACCTCCAGAAACGAGCTGCTGCCATTCTCAAGAGACTGAAGGTACCAGCTGGTGGGTCCCTGGGAGGGAGGGAGGGGCACTGGCATGGTGGGGAGGCAGCTCAAGGCACCATCTTTGTGCCCAGGAATTTGGGGTTGTTAACAGGCAAAGAAATGTGCCCATGGTGTCTCCCCCACTAATAATATTTGGGTGGGGAGGGAGACAGGATGGGCGTATAAACCTGCCCCTTGTTACACTGGATATCCCTTACTTGGCAGGGAGACACGGACAGTGAAACGGTTCAGATCCTCAGTTGGTGTGAATTAGAGCAACACTGATTTACACAAGAGGGGGATCTGGCCCAGAAAGTGAAATTGATCAGGCCCAGATTCACACCACTCGGCTGAGCAAAATGCAAAAGAAGTAATTCTTCCACTCTACTCCACGCTGATTAGGCCTCATCTGGAGGATTGTGTCCAGTTCTGGGCACCACATTTCAGGAAAGATGTGAACAAATTGGAGAAAGTCCAGAGAAGAGCAACAAAAATGATTAAAGGTCTAGAAAACATGAGCTATGAGGGAAGATTGAAAAAATTGAGTCTGTTTAGTCTGGAAAAGAGAAGACTGAAAGGGGACATAAGAATTTTCAAGTACATAAAAGGTTGTTGCAAGGAAGAGGGAGAAAAATTGCTCTTAACCTCTGAGGCTAGGACAAGAAGCAATGGGCTTAAATTGCAGCCAGGGAGGTTTAGGTTGGACATTAGAGAAAACTTCCTAACTGTCAGGGTGGTTAAGCACTGGATTGCCTAGGGAGGTTGTGGAATCTCCATCATTGGAGATTTTTAAGAGCAGGTTGGACAAACACCCATCGGGGATGGTCTAAATAATACTTAGTCCTGCCATGAGTGCAGGGGATGGAACTAGATGACCTCTCAAGGTCCCTTTCAGTCCTATGATTCTATGAAAAAGAGCAAAGTTTCAGAAACTCAGGGGTACCACCCCAGCATCGGATTAATTAGTGTTATTATTGATTCACCATTTGTATCATGATAGCACCTAGAAGCCACAGGCATGGACCAGTACCCTGTTGTGCCAGGCGGCGTACGAACACTGGACAAAAAATCATTCTGCCCCCAAGAGATTCCTGTGCTTAGGACAAAAACAAAGAGGGGCGTCTAAAAATTACCAGCCACTTCTGCAAGCGTGTCTGTCAAGAATTCAAAATCCTGGCCCTTTATTATAATCATTAATAACCCCTAGCGTCATTAGCGCTAAGCAGAAGGACATTGAAGTGTGAATTTTCTGATGTCCAACTTCCTGCTAAACCTGCTGGCTCTATTTGATTTTTGTTTGTTTGTTTGCTTCTCCCCCCTCAGTATTTTGTTGGCCAGCGGGAGGAGTTTGAGTGGGAACGGGAGACTGTGCAGGTGTGGCTGACGGAGCTGGATCTGCGGCTCACCGATGTGGAACATTTCTCTGGGGGCAGCTCGCTCGAGAAAATGATGGAGCTGCAGGTAAAATGAAAGCGTCCTCTTGTGAAGGATTAGGGATCGCAGGGCATGTATACATCGTATTGGCCTCTTGCAACTCCCAAATGCATCCGTGCAATGCACACGTCTGTGCAGCCTCATCTCAGCAGGACCTTGCACAATGTGCCAGGGGCACTGGTCTGCAGGGAGCAGGCTGAGGGCTGAATAGCGGCTGCGCTCCTCTTGGAGTTGGTGCTGATCCCTATTCCCCAGTGGGGCTCTGGGGGGCGCCTGTTGCAAGGAGCCAGGTGAGGGCTCAGTAGCAGGGTGCTCTCCTCTCTGAATCAGTGCTCACCCCAGTGTCCCAGTGCGGTGGATAAGCAGCTGCCACATCCCACCCCAGAGGTGGCTGCATTTCTGCACAGGGTGAAGCGATCCTTGCATATTCTTCCCCCCCATCCCCTCTGATGGGAAGCAGGGAGGGCTCAGAACTCATGAGCTATCAATTAATGTCTATGATCTTTGAATGGGAAGAGCAGTGAGTGAGCAAAGTCCATCGTTCTGTGGCCAGCAGGCGGGTAGCACCGGCGAAGAGCACGAGCAGAGACGCCTGTGTACACAGGCACACGCCTGATCATCTGTTGACATAGAAAACAGTAGTTCACCGAAGGGGAAATTTTATTTTTAGATAATGACGTACGGCCGAGCTGGTTTCGGGTGACACGTTTCACTTAACCTGTCAGGTGCTGAGATGTCACTACATCCAGAGAAACGGCGGCTAGCTCAGGGTTAAAACAATACACAGGCTCAGGAGGATAGCGTGGGTTTTTTTGCCGGGGAATCAGACTAGGCTAGTTCCAGCGTGGGAATATCTTCTCCCGGTGATGCTCTAGCATCTGCCTTCCAAGGATCTCCAAGCACCTTCATAAATTCAGCCCCCGAGGGATACGAGTCGATATCTTCCTCTGAGTTTTATAGATGGGGAAACTGAGGCACAGAGAAGGGAAGTGACTCTGCCAAAGTCTTACAGGGAGGCTAGCTAGGAATAGAACCCAGGAGTCCTGACTCCATGTTGCTTCCTTCAAACACAAGCTCAGACCTCCCCAAAGCTTGGTGTCGTGTAGATCAGGGTAGGTTGGGTTGGTCTCACGTCTACTGGGAAGTGAATTCTTCTATCCCGTGTCATTTTTGTGCCTCCTCTCACTTTCTGCGCACGCACAGAGCAGGGCTCGTCCCCACCAGCAGAGGGCAGCAGACAGATGCCCCACCCCTGTGATCATAAACGTTACAAGTCCGTAAGGGACAAGGCGGGTGGGTTTTCAGAGCGGAAACTGAAATATTTGCTGCAATCACCTGGATCAAAGCGCTGTGCAGGGATGGATAGCTGCAGGCTCCCTGTATAAAACACTAAGCTGGGGCCTGGGGCCTTCCACCTTGAGGTCATCCGTTCCCATCGGGCCGTGGTCAATAGGGATTGAAACTTGATGAGTGTTTCCCCTGGATGGGCCGTTTGCTGGCCTGTGTGAGATGAGTTTGCCAGGCCTCAGGCCAGTGGAAAACTAGCTCTTCTTTTCTTCCAAGAATCCCTAGCTTTTTCCTCAGCAGATCTAAAAGCGCTTCCCAAAGGAGGCAGTATTGTTCTCCCCCTTTGACAGATGGGGAAACCGAGGCACAGTGTGGGGGAGGTGGCTTGCCCCAATTCACCTAGCAGGCTACATCTCCCGAGTCTCACCCGAGTGATCTCAGTCAGCAGGCCGTATTCCACCCACCCCTTTATCCGTGTCTGTGTGGACTTTGTCCTTTGTTTGAAGGCACTGAGCAGTATTAAAATATCCCAGGGCTGATTAGTCTCCCGAATCCCGCCCCTCGCCTCCCGCTCTGTGCACTGGGGTCAGGAGGGAACAGGTGGTGTTGTGTATTACTAGAACTCTGCTTGCTCAAACCAGCCAGCCTCTGCCCGGAAGCCTGTGGGGACGCCAGATTGATACCGAGATTAGCTTATTGCTTCCAGTTCGCGATCGCACCTGTCCCTGGGCACGTAATAAACCCAGTGGCTGAGCAGCTGCAGCCCTGTGACCTTGGGTGCCGAGCTGCTCTGTTCTGGCAAGCTCAGCAGGGTCAGGAACTGGAGGGGCGACCACGCCCCGTAGGTGTTGGGATCGGCCATTTATTTGGCCTTGCCCTCCTCTCTGGGGCAGCATTGAGACGGTGGCACGAGGGGGCGCTGTGCTGCAGGGAGCAGGGTGGGGCTCAATCGGGGGTGCTCTCCAGTGCAAACCCCAGTGCCCCAGCATGGCCGTAGGGGGCCCTGTGCTGCTGGATACGTTATAAATCGGAGACCATGCCCGCTAAGATTCCTGGGGCGGTTTGCAGGGAGCAAGGAGGGTCTAGCCCCATTGTCTCGGCTAATGTCTCCCCTCTGTCCCAGGAGTTCCAGGAGGCCGTGCAGTCCAACGCGGAGCGGCTCGACTGGCTGCTGGTGTCCGGCGAGCGGCTGATCCAGAGGAGCGAGCCGCAGGACGCCGAGATCCTGGAGGAGGAGCTGCAGGAGTTGAGCTGCTACTGCCAGGAGGTCTTCTGGCGGGTGTCCCGTTTCCGCCGCCGGCTGGTCAGCATGAGGCTGGTACGCGTGGGGCAGAGCCCGCGCCACGGGGCACTGCGGCTCAACCGTCACCGGGCCCCTGGGCGACCTTGTGCTGCAGTCCCAGCAAATCTCTCCGGCTGCGCAGGGCCAGCCCTGCCCAGACTATGGATGTGAGATTTACCAGGAAAATCCTCGGGGCCACAGGACCCCCAGGGTGGGGGATTCATTGTGGGGCAGTGCTCCCTTCTGTCAGTGCTGACTGTAATGCCCCCCGGTGGCACTAGGGGGCGCTCTTCTGCAAAGAGGGGTGGGGGCACAGAATGAGGCGTGCTCCTCTTGCAGTCCGTGCTGGCACCAGGGGGCGCTGTGAGCAGGGAGTGGGGTGGGGGATCAGTAGGGGGCGCTGTCCCCATGCATTCAGTGCTGACCCCAGTGCCCCAGGGTGGCACCGGGGGGGATCTGTGATGCGGGGTGGGGGGGCACAAAGGGGAGTATGCGCCAGTCTAAGTCAGCTGATTCCAGCTGGCATGCTGCAAGAAGCAGAGCGGGGGCTCAGTGAGGGGGGCGCTCGCCAGACCCCAAGGCCCAGGTTTGGTGGCAGGGGCTGCATTGGTTGTGCTGGTGAGGGGAGAGGTCCAGGCACCGGGTGCTCATTGTGGTGTTTTTCTGGCAAGAGCTGGGCTACGAAACGCCTGGCTCGTGGCCACATTTCCTTGTGAACCGTTGCATTTTTACCTTCTTAGTCCGTCCCCTCCCCCCCACGTTTTCAGCTGGTTCAAGTATTCTTCTCTTCTGCTCCTCAGCTGTTGTGAAACATTGCTCTGCAGCTGTTGTTTGGCTGCCGCGCCCCACCCCAGAGGTGGCTGCATCTCAGCACCGGGTGAGGCAGCTCTGTGTAAACAGCTGCCACATCCCGTCCCGAAGGTGACGGCGTCTCAGCCCTGGGGGAGGGCTCTCTGGATAAACAACTGCAGCTGTAGCCACAGAGCTAGATGAGGTGATCTCTGGGAATCAGTTTCCAAAGTGTTTGGGGATTGTCAGGCGAGATATTATAATTTACAAGCTTGTGTGTGCTTCACTCCCCTCTGCAGTTAGAATAAAAATGGCTTGAATGTGTGTCACAGCCCCTCTACTGCCAACAATGACTGGGGATTCTCCTTTAGCTCAGGTGTATTGGAATTGCCCCCTGCAGGATCCATTGCAGGAGGGTTAGTTAAAGGCTACTGAAGGCCTAGGGAGCCGCTGTCTCTTTCCTGCTGACCCTCCCTGCTCACCCACCAGGTCTTTGAGGACGAGTGGCTGTCGGACCGAGAGACTGATGGAGTCTGACTGCTTCACAGATGCATCACTGAAGCCTGAGGTCGAGGGAGAAGCCAGGGGGCCCCATCCCGCTGCTTGGATCTACCAGTCCACCCCGCACAAGGCTCTCTGCTGCCGGCGCTGCCATCCGTTCGGGGCTGCCTGGAGGGGCAGCCTGGACCTGGAGTGGGACCCCTCGGTGGACGTGGGTGGGTCCACGTCTCATGACGAAGAGGGTTCATCTTACTGCAGCGCCATCACGGGTACGGGCTGCGGTAGGTCACAGGCTCTGGCTGCCCTGAATTGCAGTGGTGGGGAGAGGAGTCCTTAAAGGGGCAGAGCCCCCACAAACTGCCCCCGATGATGGGTAGGAGGTGGCTTCTCGCCCCCCTCCCAGAGATGGGGATGGAACCCAGGAGTCCTGACTCCCAGCTCCCCCACCCTCTAACCACTAGACTCCCCTCCCCTCCAAGAGCTGGGGATAGAACCCAGGAGTCCTGACTCCCAGCCCCCCCCCCACTAGACTCCCCTCCCCTCCCAGAGCTGGGGATAGAACCCAGGAGTCCAGACTGCCCCCACACTCCCCAGCTCTAACCCACTAGACAACACCTCTCTCCATAAAGATTCCTCCCGCCCCCGCCACATATGGCAGGGGTGGGCCACCCTGAAAGGGACTGACCCCCCACCCCAACAATGACCCAGCTGCCACCTCCCTGCTGGGGCTTAGCTGTAAGGGCAGCAGCTCCTGGCCCTGGAGATGGGTTGGGGGTGCACAGACCTGCCCACCCCCCTTGCCTTAAAGGGGTAATCCCTTAAAGGGGGGCAGCCGAGCTGGGCCAGCCCAACATTGCTGCAGCAGTTCCTAGGGGGCATGGAGGACATGGCGGATCTTTTAAAGGGGCCAATACCACCCTCCGCCGTTCCCTCTCTCCAGGTGTGGGCCAGTGGGAGGAGTCGGGTTGGAGGTGCAGCTGCCAGCCGGATGCGCCCGCCAGCTGGCCGGCCGGATGCGGGAGAGGCGCCGGCCACGAGGACCTGAATGTAGGTAGCTGTCATAGTCCATCCCAGAGGGCTGAGCTTGATACAGGGGTCACTGGGTGACACGTACCAGAGGTCTGCTGGCCCCTGCTGGCCTTAAACCTAAAAGTACCAGCGGGGGCTTCCTGGGACTCCTCTGTAAACGGCTGGGGGTGGTGGTGGTTTCGGGTGTGTTGAAACTGACTCCTTCGGGGAGCATCGAAGCGAAGTCCTGGAAGGGGTTTTACGCAGCAGTGGCCCGGGGTGAGGGGTGGACAGCAGAAGTTGGGGGGCCCAGTCCCAGGTCACAGGGCCACCCCACCCAGTCACCCCACCCAGCTCCAGTCAGGGGCCAGCTGCGGAGGAGGGGGGGAATGCTTCCCCCACAGCTCCCCTGCTGAGTTCAGGTTCAAAAAGGGGGTGGGGAGAGGCGTGGACCCCCATGTTTAAAAAGTGTATGTGGGGGACAGTCCCCTTTGGTCCCCCCAGTCGCTGGTACCTCTGTGGTGGCCCGGGGGTCTGATTGATTTCCGGGACCAATTCTCAGCCCTTAGGCTTGTGTTTCCTCCCTCCCCACGTAGGATCTGTCCGTGTCACGTAAGCCCCTCTCCGCGTTTCATTATCTGCTTTACAGCAGCAGCTCCCGGAGTGAAATTCTGGGCCCCATCATGCCAGTAACTGAGATCAGGGCCCCGTGGCTCCAGGTGCTGCCCAGACACCGTAACTAAGATCAGGGCACCAGACCAGCCGTGCCTCAGAGAACTCACAGGCAGAGTGGGACTCTCTCTGTTTGAGGGGTGGGGAAACTGAGGCCCGGTGAGATGAAGTGGCTGGCACAGGGTCTCACACAGCTGGGACTTGAACGCTGGTTTCCTGAGTCCCAGCCTAGCACCTTAACCGCAAGGCCGCTGCAGCCTTGGTCTAGCCCTAAACCAGCCGTAGCCTGATCAGTAGCAAGGTGAGCTTCCCTTGCCTAACACGATCCCCTGCTGCTTATGGGCTTCACTGGGAATCAGAGACAAGGTGATTCCCTCTTGTATTTGTAAGAGGGAGCGGGGTCCAGTGGTTAGAGCAGGGGGCTGGGAGCCAGGATACCTGGGTTCTATCCCGAGCTCTGGGAGGGAAGTGGGGTCTAGTGGTTAGAGTAGGAGGCAGTGGGGCTCAGGACTCCTGGGTTCTGTTCCAAGCTCTGGGCGGGGAAGGTGTTTACAGACACGTGCAGGGGGCGGGGAGGTACTGGGACTCCTGGGTCCTGTTCCCAGTTCTAACCCTGATTCACTGCGTGATCTGTGGTTGTGTCCCTCCGTTCCCTGTAACCCAAGAATGAGACTAACCCTGTCTCCTGGGGAGGAGCTGTGGCTATTATTAACAGGCCATTCCCTTTGGGGGGCTGGACGCAGGCGCAGCTGGGCTCCCAGGACAGGCCTTGTCTCTCCCTGGTGACCAGAAGGAAGGTGGAAATTGCCTGGGGCAGTTCTGGTAAGTAACTCGGTTCCTGGCCCGTCACAGTCCAGTCCAGCTGACCACTGCCTACCCGCTACCAAGAGAGCCCCTCGGTAGCTCGCACTCGCTAATGAGGGGCGACTTGTGGGGTCATAAGAAAAGATGCTGGGACTGGTTCCCTCGATAATTGCCCTGTTCTGTTCATTCCCTCTGGGGCACCTGGCACTGGCTGCTGTCTAGATGGGCTAGAGTTGTGTGTTTGCCACCGGGGTCCTGTTGTGGTTTTGGTTTTTGCAACACGAACGAGTTGGCAAAACTGTCCCCGGTTTGCAAAACGTGCCGAATCTGCGTTTGTCACCGAAAACTGAAACACTTCTCCCAGCTCTAGTCCCAACCCCTCTGAATAGACTTCCCCCAGTCTGGCTGGAAACCGACCGGCGGGTGATTCATAGAGCCTAAGGCCAGAAGGGGCCATTCGGATCAGCCAGGCTGCAGCCAGCCCAGATCTGGTGATTGAGCTAGAGGATCTGATCTCTGTGGAGAGCGATGCAGAATCCACCGTGTCTCCTATGGGGCTGCTCCAATGGTTAATTCTTAATTTATCCAGCTTCCCGTCCCAGCAGCTTGATCTCACTCTGCCTTTCTGTGCTCCTATAAAAGTGTCTTCTACGATCAGATCTCTCCTTCCCGCGTAGGTACTTACGGTGGAAGGTACTTTATGCACCAGGGCAAGGCTTTGGCCCTTTATGGGCTTGAATGTGGCCTTTGGTTGTCTGTAGCCCCGGCGCTATGGCTGTGCCGTGGAGCGAGTTGTGAGGTCTTAGTGCCTTTCAGTGCAGGACGGGTTTCTGCAGCATAAAACACCCAGGCTCAGGACTGGCGGAAGGTCCCGTGTGACCAGCCCCCGAGATCTATTTCTCAGCCGCTGCTCTGGAAAGACTCCCCTTTCGGGGATGAGCTCGGTCTCCAGGGCCCCTTGAGTTCTGGGCCCCTCTGCTGGGTGGGGGGGGACATTGGACTCCCCAGGAACTGGATTGAGACCTGACAAACTCATTTCACAGCAGGGAGACCACCCACCAGCCATGAGCTGGCAGCATGTACTGAGGTGGGATGGTATCAAACCAGCACCCTGAAGACAAAGGGCTGCATAGGCCACGCCACCGGCTCTGCAGCCCTCCATTATTAACTCCTTTGAGCTACCTGCTGATGCCCCCCCCCCCGCATTACTAAGCCAAGTGCCTCACAACCCTCCTGTAAGGCTGGTATCCCCATTGCACAGAAGGGGAAACTGAGGCACTGAGCGGCTAAGTGATTTGTCCAAGGAGCTTGTAGCAAAGCAAGGATTTGAGCCCAGCCCTGCTCTCTCCCAGGTTGGTATCCGAATAACCAGGTCATCCTTCCTCCCCTGGGCTGGTGTCTCTCTCTTGTAGTCCTGCCCCTGGCAGTCACGCCTGCGCCATCCTCTCCTCTTAGGGAATGGCCCTCGGCAGGGCAGCTGGCATCCCCAGGGCCTGGCACTGGGGGGCGAGGCCTGCCGCCAGACAGAGATGGTGGGCTTTGACCCCAAGCGGATTGAAAGCTGGCTGGGCCAGACCAGTGTGGAGCAGGGCAAGCCGGAAGTGATGCAGGTGAGCACGGTTGCACCCTGAAGGGGGCAGGGAGGTACCCCAGCCTACCGACACCCCCACATCCCCAGTGCCTACAGGGCTTAGATCTCTCCTGGCCCCAAGCTCCATGCAGCTTTCCCTTCCGTGCTGGGGATGGCAGTGCTGATCTGGGGGTCAGCCCCGTGACCTCTGCAGGGATGGGGCACCCTAGGGGGAGCTGATGCAAGTGGGATTTGGGCTGGGGCGGAGGTCCTCCCCTCTGGTCTCGCCCCTGCCCCTTTCTATCCACCCCCACCCGCAGGCCTCAGAGCGATGGGGCTGCCCACCAGTTTCCCCTCCCCAAGCAGCAAGGCCAAGCGTGGGTGAGCTCAGCTGGGGTGCCTTGTGCTGGGATGGTGTCAGATTCCCCAAGCTAAGCAGGGACGTGCCTGGCCACTCCGAGGAGGGGAGGCCCCCTTGTACTGCGGATCGTTAGAAAGAGCAATGCCCGCCAAGTGCATGAGCCAAGCATGGGGCTAGACATAACTCCCCTCCCTGGTGCTGGGGTAGGACCCAGGAGTCCTGACTCCCAACCCCCCGCTGCTCTAGCTCACTAGATCCTCTCCCTCCCAGAGCTGGGGATAGAGCCCCCGAGTCCTGGCTCCCAGCCCCCTGCTCTAACCACTAGACAGCACCTCTCCCGCTGTAAAGTTTCCTTCTCCCCGCGTGAGTTAAGGAAGAAGGCCCCACGTGTGGTGGGCTTGGGGCTGGTACCTCGGATGCCCTGGCCATGCAGAGCCCATAGCTCAAGGGGGTGTTGGGCCCCATCCAGCCCTAGCTAACGGCCCCCCCTCTCCATCCTTCCTTCTGCAGCCCTGGGAGAGGAATCAGGCCAGTCCCGGCTCTGAGGACGTGGCAGTCGTCATTGAGAAGGGGTAGGAGGCTGCAGCTTTGAGCCATGGTGGGAGCGGGGCAGGAATGACACACAGTCCTTTGCCCCGTCCTCCCCCAACTGACCCCCAGGCCTGGCATCTCCCCACCTCCCAGCCCTGCCTTGCCACAGCTGCTTT